TTTTAAAATTTTAAAAGTGACATTTACTAACTTCCCTAAAATCACATAGTAAAACATTAGTGTATCAAGCCATTTCACATACATTTTGTCCCAAGTGCTTTGTCCTGTGCCCTGCCTGCATTTTTAATGTTCCTTCTGCCTTGAAACTGAGAAAAGTCCATGGTGTCCAAAAAGTGTCCCTTCTAAGTCAAAAGCGGTTTTAGACCAGCTAGAGCGATAGTAAATCAGAACCACTTGCAGAATTGAGTGATAATGATTCATGGGGAAATTCATCATCAGACACTGAAAACGATTTTGCGACTTTGCTCATTGATGTGCAAACTGGCGCTCTATGTCAAATCTCAGTGTTTTTGGTTTGATTATATTATTGAATTAAATTTATTATTATTATATTATAATTTTGTATGATTATTAAATTATAATTTATGATTTTGTGTTTCAAATTTAAACATACAATATTTACTAGACTCTTGTTCAGACAGATTTCAGCGAGTTACTGTATTTCTAAAAATTACAGGCCTACAATAAAAAAACTACATATTTCCATGCAAAAAAATGTACCGCTTTGAGCACAGAAATATGGACATAATCAGACCACTAGGGAGGCTACAAATGCCTCCAAGCCTTGGTTAAAGAGCTGTATGGGGACAAGGTCTGATTACCTTAAATAACAAAGGAATGTGACTATTTGGACAAGTCAGACCACAGCTCTCCTTTTTGTTTGCATGGGGGGTGGGTTGTCAATTGCTTAAACCAGGGCTTGAAAAAGCCGCTCGCCCGCTCACCAAATGCGAGCAGAAATTCCTCTGTGGTGAGCGGCTGCGAGCGCCGAGCACAGATGAAGAAGCATGGAGCAACTGCACATGCGCTCCAAGCCTCATTGTGAAGCCGAGTTCCGGTTTACAACTTCCGGTTTCCGCGGCATTGCCATTGCAGTGGCAGCGCCGCTGTGGGGACACGTGCAGGAGAGGTCCGCTCTCCTACGCTAAGAGGAGACACTCTCTCCACCACCACGTGGGGGAATCAAGGCCCGCTCTCCACCGCCGTGGGGGACATGAGGCCTGATCTCAACTGCCTTGGGGGACACGAGGCCTGATCTCAACCGCCTTGGGGGACACAAGGCCCGCTCTACACCTCCTTGGGGGACACGAGGACAACTCTCCACCACCTTGGGGGACACGAGGCCCGCTCTACACCACCTTGGGGGACACGAGGCCCGCTCTACACCGCCTTGGGGGACACGAGGCCCGCTCTGCACCGCCTTGGGGGACACGAGGCCCGCTCTGCACCGCCTTGGGGGACACGAGGCCCGCTCTGCACCACCTTGGGGGACACGAGGCCCACTCTAGACCGCCTTGGGGGACACGAGGCCCGCTCTAGACCACCTTGGGGGACACGAGGCCCGCTCTACACCGCTGTGGGGGACACGAGGCCCGCTCTACACCGCCTTAGGGGACACGAGGCCCGCTTTACACCGCCTTTGGGGGACACTATGCCGCTCTACACCGCTTTGGGGGACACGAGGCTCGCTCTACACCGCTGTGGGGGACACGAGGTCTGCTCTACACTGCCTTGGGGGACACGAGGCCCGCTCCACACCGCCTTGGGGGACACGAGGCCCACTGTACACCGCCTTAGGGGACACGAGGAGAGGCCCTCTCTACACCGGCATGGGGGACACGTGAAGGAGAGACCCGCCAGGTGCACATCACTACACCCGCCAGCTTAAGGTAAATGACATTTTTTTGTGCTGCGCTCTGGGGGCAAAATGATTTGGAAAAGAGTTATCTTATATGCACCATTGGTCCTTCACAATTGTAATGCATGGACAGACCCACCCACCAAGCAAGCAGCTGTGCTCCTCCCTGCTCCTGAAAGGCAGCCCAGCCAGCAGACACACAGATCCACCAGAGGAGCCTTCAATCAGGCCAGTTTTTAATCTGAACTGCCTTTAATCTGAACTGCCTTTAATCTGAAGTGGCGTTAAACTGAAGTGGTGTTAATCTGAACTGCCGTTGAGCTTAACTGCCTTTCATCTGAACTCCCTTTTGATCTGAACTCCCTTTGATCTGAACTGCTGTTGAGCTGCGCTGCCTTGTTTAATCTGAACTGCCATTGAGCTGAACTGCCTTGTTTAACCCCCTGGCGGTATTCTCGAGTGTAGTTCGGGGTAAAGTTTCAGTACCACAAGCGGTAACCCCGAGCTTCACTCGGGAATACCATGCGGCGCTGCTCCGGGATCCCTTGATCACTTACCTTGTCCTGCGCTCCCGCAATGTCCCTCCTGCAATGTCCCCGGCAATGTCCTCCGGCGGATGCCGACATCTGTCATCTGGGTTCCCTCCCCTGCGAGCGTCGGGACGTACGGGGGACGGAACGGCGGGAAATTTGAAAATGACAAAAAGTGACATTCACTAAATACACTAAAATCACATAGTATAACATTACTGTATCAAACCATTTCACATACATATTGTCCCTAGTGCTTTGTCCGGCGCCCTGCCTGCATTTTTACTGTTCTTTCTGCCTGGAAACTGAGAAACTTCCATGGCATCCAAAAAGCGTCCCTTTAGGTCAAAAGCAGTTTTAGACCAGCTAGAGAACAGTGATAGTAAATTAGAACTACTTGCAGAATTGAGTGATAATGATTTGTGGGGAAATTCGTCATCAGACACTGAAAACGATTTTGCGACTTTGCACAGTGATGTGCGAACTTTGAGCTCAATTCAAATTTCAGTGTTTTTGGTTTCATTATATTATTGAATTAAATTTATTATTATATTATTATTTTTTTATGATTATTTATTAAATTATAATTTATCATTTTGTGTTTCAAATTGTAACATACTGGGGATGTTTACTAGACTCTTGTTTGGACAGATTTCAGTGAGTTTTTCCTAAAAATTACAGGCCTACAATAAAAAAAATACATATTTCCATGCAAAAAAAGTACCTCTTTGAGCACAGAAATATGGACATATTCAGACCGCTAGGGAGGTTAATCTGAACTACCGTTGAGCTGAACTGCCGTTAAACTGAACTACCTTATTTAATCTGAACTCCCTTATTTAATCCCTCCCAAGTGTTGGCCTTACACCTCTAGAATTTCTTTGAAAATTTTTGATTTCAGAACATTTGTTTAATTTATAAGAATTAAAGGGGAAAAAATCAACAACTGGTTTTGACCAAGCAAGCAAAAAAATCAGATGATAAGGATGGAGAATTTTTGTTTAATCTAATGAAAATGAACATTCTAATTGTTGAATTGGCTTCTAGCCAAGACAAATTGTAACTAGTTTTATGCATGTGCACTTGTCAACCCTTTCTACGGAAATTGAGACATTGGACATGGTACTCAAGCAAAAAGTCATTTGAAATTAGTCAAGGCCATCTTGTTTTGCTGACCTGGATTATGCTTCACAAAAATGTGGTGAGTGTTTTACAGGATAAACAATCACTATTGTAAAAAGTATGGAACCCCTGGCTCTCTTATTCAGAGGTACCGGATACCTGGAGGTGACGAGATGACGTTGGTCTTCTGGATCCTTGGAAGAGCACTTCCTGTCTCCCTTATTCATCCTCTCTTCTTTAATTTTCCTGATTTTGCTCTTTTGAGACTTTCTTTCCAAATTGCCCTCAATAATAATGCCGGGTCCTCTATCCCGACTTCTGGTCTTGTTTACCACATGTGTTACATCACAGTACACAACCTGTCATATCTTGGAATTTGCATTGTTAATAGTATTACTGATGGGAATACTCTGGGTTTGTACCCCTGTGTTAGTCCCTTGCTCCTATATGACTCCTGGAAAACGGTCATACTCTCTGTAATGAGGGACAGGTGCAGGCCTGCCTATCTCTTCTGCATAGAGCCCCAGTTCTGTGTAGTTCCTGTGTTTGTTCTCCTTTTTTTTTTATACATGTCTTCTTTTCCTTTTGAGTCAAGATTGGTTGATATTGCAACTGTGGACTGTTCCCTGATAGCTCAACAGTTGTGAGTGTTATTAGAAGGAGATATGGGACTATGTTGGTATTTTTTGATATTACTGTATGGCTTTACTCTTCTTGATAGTCTCAAAAATACATACAATGTTATATTATCCTATTTTGTAAAACTAATAAAAATGATTGAAACAGAAATTAGTTGAGTCCACAAAGGCACCATTGAATGGTCAGACTAGCAATTTTTTATACTTTCTCGTCCAAATAATATTCTATAATATTCTGGTGTAAGGCCAGTTTAAATTTTTATTTTCAAGGCTAAGAACAATTTCAGCAAATACAGAAAATTTCTGTTGATTTTTGCCCAAAATATAATGTTCTAATCACTCCCTGTAAGAAAAAGTACATCATATATCTCTATGTGAACTGCTAGTACCATCAATCCACCATGTAATTAAGGTGAACAAAGGTAAACAAATTTGAAGACCAGCCTGTGTGACAACTATAGATACCGCCATAGGTGAAGCACAGAGATGAAGGAAAACTTAAGGGGGGATTTACTAAAACAGGAGCACTCAGAATCTGGTGCAGCTGTGCATGGTAGCCAAACAGCTTCTAACTTCAGTTTGTTCGTTAAGGCCCCTTTCACATGGGGCAAACCTGTCAGCGGATCTGCTTGCGTAGTGGAGGATCTCTCCTCTGACTCCCACTGAGTAAGCGGATGTCCTTGTCTGCTCCGCTGCTGCAGTACGTACACAGATACAGCCTGCTGTCCTCTATGGGCAGTTGGATGGAAATGGACAAAAGGGGAACGGATCACCATTCGTCTACTTTTGGCGTCATATAACGTCCTTCTAGAATGCGCTCTTCTGCACGCCCCCAGGGGGGGCGTGCACCTGGCGATCTCCGTGATCACCTGTGTCCAATGACATGCTGATCACCAGGAAATGCAATTGCCGGTTCTCGGCTGCACTTTCCTCACGCTGTCAGAGAACCGGCAGTTGTCAGAGCAGGGATCGGCACCAATCATCAGGGCACTGATGATCAGTGCCCTGATGATCGGTGCCCAGCAGTGCCACCCACCAGTTCCACCCACCTGTGCCCAGCAGTGCATCCACCTGTGCCCAGCAGTGCACCCACCTGTGCCCAGCAGTGCCACCGAGCTGTGCCTAGCTGTGCTACCCACCTATTCCCACCAGTGCCACCCACCTGTGCCCACCAGTGCCACCCACCAGTGCCCATCAATGCAGTGCTGCCAGTCAGTGCCACCAGTCAGTGCCCAGTGGTTGTGCCAGTCAGTGCCCAGCAGTTGTGCCAGTCAATGCCAAGCAGTGCCGCCAGTCAGTGCCCAGCAGTGATGCCAGTCAGTGCCACCTATCAGTGCTGTCTATCAGTACCCATCATCAGTGGCACCTATCAGTGCCGCCTATCCGTGACACCTCATTAGTGCTGCCTATCAGTGCCGCCTATCAGTGCCACCTCATTTGTGCTGCCTATCAGTGCCGCCTATCAGTGCCCTTAAGTGCTGCCTATCAGTGCCCATCAGTGCTGTCTATCAGTGTCCATCAGTGCTGCCTCATCAATGCACATCAGTGAAGGAGAAAAATTACCTGTTTGAAAAATTTTATAATAGAAACAAAGAAATTTTTTTTTTTTCAAATTTCTTGCATTTTTTTTTTGTTTATAGCACAAAAAGTAAAGTGCCCAGCGGCGATTAAATACCACCAAAAGAAAGTTCTATTTGTGAGAAAAAAATTTTTATAAAATTTCATATGGGTACAATCTTGCATGACTGCGCAATTGTCACTCAAAGTGCGACAGCGCCAAAAGCAGAAAATTGGTCTGGTAAAGAAGGGGGTATAAGTGCCCAGTAGGCAAGTGGTTAATTTGTGAGAAGTTAACCGTACAAGGAAGGTTCTGTACTGCACATGTGCTGATCTGCTATATAAGATTCTATACTCTGGCACTTGAATATACAGGTACCAATGATAAATATCTGTAGAAACTGACTTTTTCCATGAAAGTATAGCCCACAGGTTTTCTTTTTAAATGCCACTACTACCTAAAATACATAGCGTTTTTTTTTACAAATATATATATTTTTTTCTGCAATTTAGGAAATAATGGGTTTCTTTTCCTATAAATACTCTGTGTATGATTTTTCACTCATTTGGTGTGCCAATTAGCTGTGACATATATGAAAAAAATTATTTCCTATATTTATGGAAAATAGTGTTGGGGAGTTTATCAAGACAGACAGAACTGGGACGGTCTCTATCAATTCATTTTTCTTCCTCAGCATCCTACACAGCACGCTTTGTGCAGTCTGTAACTATAGCTACAAAATCACTCTAGATCGTCCTGATGGATGTTTAAGAATGAAAAGTACCGGCCTGAAAATTAATCTGCTGCACTATATATTATGTCAGGCTGTGTCCTTGTGCTTTAGGATTGTAAGTGTAACATAAAACTTGCAAACATATGAGCTTTCTGAAGGCAGCTGTATTGTTAGCTGGGCTAAAGGGGTTATATTTTTTATTTTATGTATTTGTTTGTAGTTGTACGTGTTAATTTTTTATTAATTCCAATCAGTTTTCTGTTTAATATGAACCTGGCAAGTTTAAGATAAATGCGGATTAAAGTTCTCTGCAATAAAAGAGCTGTAATATCCACCTGTTTGTCTTTCTTTGTCTGCTTTCTACTCTCCTGTACAACATTGCAGCCTCACATGCCTCTTTGGCATTGGATATTACAAGGAGTGTCCAGTGACTGTTTACCCTTGACATGCAATGGCACCATACTCTGCTGAGCCTCATAGTGACATAGGGGCTTGAGGATGGAACCTTGGCCTGTAATGTTGAACACAGGCATCTGACACTCCTGGAAGTGTCAAATACCAAAGAAACTGACAAAGGCTGCAACGATGGAATAGAGGCAAGGTATTAGATGCAGGATGAAGGTGAGGGGAGTATACAGTAAATGCTCTAGCAAGGATCCAGATTTACTTTAAATAAATTAGACAAATTAAAAAAAAATTATGTCCAGATTAATGCCCCATATAAAGTAAAATTTCCTTTCAGCGATGTTGGATAGAATGTTTGGGTACAGAGTAACAGATTTCCTTGCAGGTTTCTGCTGCAGAACCTAAGAATAAAAGTAAATGTAATCACAAAAATTTCATGTCATTTCAAGCATAATTACAGTAATAACAATGGTATTTTAAAATATGCAGGGTTCGTTTAAAAATGACCTGGTGATCCGGCCATTGAGGTTTTTGTTCAAACACTTACTGTGATAGGGTGACAACACTCTATCATTCTCTCCAATTTGTTCTCTTGTGTTGCCCCCTCACCCCCCCTGTCTTGCAGCCTTCCGATAGAGACCATGAGTGGGAAAATCAACACAATTGTTGTCACCATCCGGAAACCCAACCTGAGAAATGCTAGGCAGCCATTGCTGGAATGTAGACAGAAAGTGGCTACAAAAAGCCTGCAGAAAATGAGTAACATTGACATAAATTGAAAGACGAGGACCACATTCCCTTAAGTGTTCAGCTGTAGTAATAGATGGTCGCTTGTAGTGACTGTAGCAGATGGCGACACACAAACCACAGTATGACACGGCACTCTTCTACAAACATATACGCTCTTTTATTAGTGCAATGTCACATCAGTCAAGTAAGCCAACGTTTCAGGGCCATTCAGGGTCCCTTCTTTAAGGTGACATATAAAATCTCAATCGTGACTATGTAGCCTTGAGGAAGGGACCCCTCATGGCTCACTTGACTGATGTGTACATGTACAAGTGTTGGTGACGTCTTATCATTTTACTATAAACAACAATGAGATGTCTTCCTGTCAACATGCAGGCACTCTAGCAACCGCTGCATATTAGTTTTCAGGGTGGATTTCCTGATGGTGACAACAGTGGACAACACCTATTCAATGGGTGTTCAATGGATCATTGGCTGCAAGCACTAATCAGAGGCTGGTTTTCCAGCATGCACATTTGACAGGAGCTGGTTGTGAGTCTGGCTTCTGTAGAACACACAGCTTCACACACAGGTCGAAAGTTTTCTGGTTCCTGCTGGACCGGACGATTTTTGGCCCATGTGTACTGGGCTTTAGCCAGGTGCCATGATGCAGATTCAGGAGTTACGTCATCCTGGCCAATCAAGATGGCCGAAGATCCTTAGCCTAGAGGAAGCCGATGCGAAGATTTCCACACCAGCTAGGGAGCTTGTGGACGTTTCATCACTGGAGGGGAGGTGAGTAACATCTTGTTTTAACATTTTAATGCTTTTATGAGATCTCAAGGTGTGGGTTTACATATAGTTTAAGGCAATTCTGCAGCAGTATAGCAGGGGATGTGTTAGTCCTTACATGAGCTCTCATTACCTCATTTATTTAAAAAAAAACAAAGAATTGACATTTGTGGACTGGCTGGCCTGTTATCAGAACAGGATATGGGGCAACCTTGAACTCTTGCACAAGCATTGGACGCAGAATGTCTGGCAATCCCCAAGTGGAGGAAAGTTTATTTATAAGAAGTTGTATGAAGATCTGCTTCATATCAATCTGCTCTCTGCCTTACAAACCTTGTTCTACAGCGTATTTGGTCTTTGTGAGAGTTCACACTCGAAGAATGTTCAAATGATTTGAAACAGCTCTGGACTATTTACAAATGCTGACACCAGATCTTCTCATCAGATAGCAATGAGTTTAAAGAGAACTAGAAGAACTAGAACTAGGATTGATTTAGCCACTTAATAATATCCGCCTATGCACATATTTCTTCTATATATCATATCCTTTTACAGCTGAAAGCAAGTCCCACCAATCAAGGCAGTGGAATGTGGAAGGGGTAACTGTTAAAAAGAAAACACTGCATTGTGTGTAATGGCTAACACATTTTTTTGGAACCTATAAAAGGAAAATTGAAAAAGTGCAGCACAACCCCCCTGTTTTTATGTTACATGCAAATGTGAATTATGGTGGAAACCCCCAAGGGACCTTACAGTTTAGAAACACTGAAAATGTTATTTTTCCATACACTGTGCAATATACTGTACTATATATATATATATATATATATATATATATATATATATATATACATACACACATATAAACACTTCATGAATAATGGTAGAACCCTCCAACCAACTCCCACCTATATTGTGCAAAATTCCAACTAAACAAATCATTACAATATAAAGTCCATTAGATATTTCCCTTCCACTAGTAGTATTGTGCAAGATTTCTTAACAGGAAACACCACATCCAAACCTTCACCAATCGCACAAACTGGTCACCACCACAGATTGCTTTAAACACAAACTTTAGGTCCCAATGAGCCTTCCCCATTAAATAGGGTATTTGTTTATTTGTTCTAACTCAGGATTTCTCCAATTTCAACAACTAGACTCCTTAAACTTCTGGATTTCATTAAGGACACCAGATTTTACTTCTCTCTCCAGTAGAAGCTCAAAAGAATCAAGAGAAGGCCATCATCATGCATACCTATCAAATGCTATAAATTTTATTAAAAGTCACTAATAAATACATTCACTTTAAAAATTGCACTAATTCTGGTGCACTGCAGAGAAATCAGCCTAAAATAAAATGTGTTGCCCCCTTAAAGTGGAACATTACCCATAACAACTTGATAAAAAATATTGTTCTTTACCAATCACATACATTCCACATTAGTACTTATGCAAACTTAGTATGTGCAGTAAATTGCCTCCAGCATTGTTCCTGCCATTTTGCTGAAGCCCAGAGCCCTGAGCAGCAGTAAATCTTTACGCTGTCATCAGATTGTCCTTTAGAAATTCGGCACAGTGCCTAAAAATAGAGAGCAACTGAGAACGTGCAGATGAGGGTGAGACAGTGTATTACTGGATTTTAAACAGTATAGGCACTTATTTTTAATGTTTTACATAGCTATACCTGCAAAAGGGGCCAGCATGAAGTGATCTAGCAGATTTAATTTTCTGACTAAAATTCCACTTTAGCCACTTCCCCCTGGGTGGACATCATATGATGTCCTGGGGTTTGAGTGGAGATATATGGATGATGCCTGCAGCTACAGGCATCATCCAGGTATGTCTGTTTTCAGCTGGTGATTCCCTCTGTTGTAAAAGCCATCCTAGAGGCTGATTAGCCGCTGGTTTGCTTTTACAGTAGAAGGGGATGCCGCGGTCTTCTGTGCGATTGGAGAGCCAGAGAACCAATCTGGCGGTGCCACCGATTTACCATAGACCTGGCCGTGGACTAGATGGTCCCCTGCCATCTCTATGATTCTGGGAGGCCAGAAACAACATCATGACCTCACTTCCAACTCTGGCAAATGTAAACACTGCCATTTTTTTTTTTTTTTGCTGGAAAGCCTGAGATAGTTTTTTTCTAAATCTCATGCTTTCCAACATAGAGGAGAGATATGGGGTCTTATAGACGCAAGATCTCTCCATA